TGTGGGACTGAATATTGATCTGGTGTTGGCTTCTTTCAAGGCCAGAGCCTTGACCCCTGTATTATCTCTCTGCCTCATCCCCATTTATTTAAAATAAGAGCTAGGCCCAGCTGTGCTTGAGCGGTGTGTGTGAGTATTACTCCAGTTGGTGATACAAACCTAATGATTCAGTGCTCAGGACTGGCACTGTGGTGCACTTAGGTTGGTCACTGGGTACCACCATGGTCATACTTAGCGGTGCTCTTGGGGTCATGAATGCTAGGAACGAAACTCAGGGTTTTGCATATGCTAATCACATTTTCTACCACTTGAGCTATCTCCTCATTCTTCCTCTATTCCTGAAGTAAGTGTGTTTATTTGAAAAGCAAAATAAAAAATCAACTTCTTAATATAGTTAAACAATTCTGGAGAGTGTAGGGTAGGCCATTTGCATTGATCCCCCAAGCAGACCAGGAGTAAGTCCCGAGCACCACCAGGTATGAACTCAAAACAAAACAAAATAAAAAAGCAATTCTAAAACCCTTAAGTCCATATGGACTGTTTCTAATTGGTCAAGTTTCATTCCTAGGATGACTTTGGTTTCCTTAAAGTGCTTGGCTGAGAAAGCTCAAGGGTTTTCCCAACCTGACCAATTATTTTTTTTTTGGGGGGGGGGGTCACACCTGGCTGTGCTCAGGGGCTACTCCTGGCTCTGAGTTCAGGAATTACACCTGACAGTGATCAGGGGACCATATGGATCTCAAGGATCAGACCTGGTTTGACCTTGTGCAAGCAAATACCCTGCCCACTATACTATTACTTCAGCCCCAACCCCAAATTTTTAGTTTCAGTGAACTAAAACTTTTTCTCCCTCTCACTCAATCATTTGTTACAAAAGAAAGAATATTCTCAGACTAAAAAGATTACTCAAAGTCTGGAGCATATGTTTTGCATGTGGGAGGTCCTGAGTTTGATTCCTGCCATTGTATGATTCCCCAGAAGTAGACCCTTGAGCACTGATGAATATGACCTGAAACCAAATAAACAAAAAAAATAACTCTTAATTATATCTTAGAATTATGTGTCCAAGCCCATCACTTTTATCTCCTTAATACTATAAAAGGTGTTAAGGGGTTGCTACTTTTCCTTCACTGTCAGTTCTATATTTACTGCCTGAGCTTCTTTTCCATTATCTCTAATAGATCTTTCCTATCACTGTATAAACAATTAAGGATAGTAAATATGCCTTCCTTACAGATGTATCCTCCTACTATGCCTAGTCTAAGAAATATTTAAAAAAGATTTGTGGAATTGAGTTCTTAATATTAAATTTCTCTTGAAAGGAGACTAGAGAGTACTGGGGTTAAAGCACTTGCCTTGCCTGTAGTTAACTCTAGTTTGAATTCTGACACCAAGTATGGTTCATAATGCACTAACAGGAATTACTCCTGAGCATAGAGCCAGGAGTAATCCCCAAACACAGCTGGTTATGTTCCAAACTTTCACCCCCATATTTTCCTTCTTGAGGTATTAGAAGACATTGACCAAAGATATGAAACTTGAAGGAAGAGTGAACTTTTATATTCTTGGCAATCAGGATCAAACCTGGGGATCCTCATGTAAAGCATGTGCTTTGGCCCTCTATCTCCCTGACCCAAGTTTTTGTTTTGTTTTGTCTTTGGATAACATCCAGAGTTCTCAGGACTTACTTTTCTTGGCTTTTGTCTCAGGGATCACTTCTGTGGGGTTTGGAAGACCTTATATGGTGCCAAGGATCAAACTTAGGTTTGTCACATGCAAAGTAAGCACCCTATCCACTATACTACAGCTACTGCCCCAAGAGTCAAATATAATTGACCCAGGAACATGGTTTAAAGATAGTTATAGAATTTGTGGTGGGTTCTCTTGCAATTAAGTTCTTATCCCAATCTCCTGCTTGATGGTTCTCACAAATACCATACCTGGGTATTATGGCAGTATTTTCTTGAGATTTTTTTAGGTCCTTCAGTTCCCTTTATTACCTACTTTATGATATTAATTTATGCTAACATTACTTTTGCCACATGAAATATTTTATTTCCCTTTCCCTTTGTGTTGTCACTGTTGACATGTTCAGGATTGCATGTACACTTGTGGTGATGGATTACATCTGAAGAGCTGCCAGGTACTTGGTGATATGAGGAGGTTTTGGGGTTAGATTTCATGGTCACACACAGTAAGTGCTCTCCCACCAAGTCACATCTAACAATTCCCACCTGCTCTCTTTGATTCCTTCCTTCCTCCTCATCATTTTCAGGATTTCAGAGAGGGTAAGCTCTGAGCTCCTACCATTATCCTGATGAACAGACTAAAGTAAAAATGAGGGAATGAGGTTAGTCAAGATTACTAGCTTAGGGCAGAAGTATAGCACAGTGGGTAGGGTGCTTGCCTTGCATGTGGCCGACCTAGGTTCATTCCCTGGCGCTACATATGGTCCCTTGAGCCCCACCAGGAGTGATCTCTGAGAACAGAACCAGGAGTAATCCCTGAGCACAGCCAGGTGTGGCCCCCAAATAAACAAACAAAAAGATTGCTAGCTTACTGTATTGCTTCTTCCCCACTAAAGTTTTAAATAGGCCCAGCCCTGCTCAGCTTCTGAAATCAGGTACATTCAGGATGGTATGGCTACACACTTCATTGCCTTCTTGACTTGAAGCTTTGTTGGAGAGACCCACATGACAAGAAACCAAGATCTGCTGGTAGCCAATAAGGAACTGAGGCTCTAAGTCCAACACCCAGGAAGAACTGAGTCCTGCCAACAATCACATAAGTGAGGTTGGAAGTGGATTCTTTCACAGCCAAGCTGGCACTTTGATGACAGTTAGTAACCTTGAACCAGAGGAGTCAATAAGACATATTCAATTTTCTTACCCACAGAAACTTTGAAATCATGATTCAATCCTCTAAACTTTGGGGTAGTTATTATAGCACAAGAGATACATACCAGGTGAATCTGGTTGATTCCAAAGTTCATATTCCTCAGCATTTTATTAGGTTATGTCACACTTCTTTATTCTTTTTGTTTGTTTTTCTATTAGGTATGGCTCTGTACTCAGAGAGTACAGAGTGGTGGGTTTGGGGATTGAACTCGGGTTGGCCACATGCAAGGCAAGTACCCTACCTGCTGTACTATTGCTCCTGTCCTATCTATTCTGAGGACACAGTGGTTTTCCATTTTTTATTAGACACAGATTCTAAGGACACAGTGGTTTTCCATTTTTTATTAGATGGTCTTACATTCCAGTAATCTTCAACCACTGCTCCAAAGACTGGTGCTGGTCTTATAGGTATATAAAGGCTAAACGCCAGTGGTCTACTGCAGTGGACATAACTATTCCTCCCTTCCCCCCACCTTTCAATGACTACTGGTTTGTGGACCATTGTACAGGCCAGGTGCTGGTTTGTAGGTGTAAAAAAGTTGCAGAATGCTCTTTCAGGAGAATCCCTTGTTCAAAAAATTTTTTTAAGAGTCTATTCTCACACAGTCCCAGAATACAAGATCTCAATTACATTTGTTTACATTTGGGATTTCTAACAGTTAGGCTAAGAAGCTCAGCTTTGGTGGCTCAGAGACTTCATAGTTTTTAAGATCAGACATCTCTGTTGATTAGGCTAATTGAATTGGCCTGCTCAAAATCTTTCTCAGGGTATTGTTCCAAGTTTGGATAAACAATGGAGAGATCATGGACTCTCTAGTGTCCTAGTACAGCCTTTGCTCTTTCTTTCATTGCATCCATTCATTAAGAGGAAGAGTATGTATGGTAGGTAGATTTGCTTTTGGAGGGCAAAGATACTGTTAGATTAGTATAGTGGTTCTTAAAGTGGATTAAACATTCAAATAATATAAACAGATGTAAAGGTCTTCAAGCTTGGGTCCCATCCTTAGAGATCTTCTGATGTCACCATCATGATTGTGGTCTGGCCCTCAACCATGTTATTAGGAATATTAGACATTAGAAATTTTAAGAGCTCTCCAAGTGATAAGAAGGAAAATTTGAGGACTGGATTTAGAACATCTCGGGTTTGGCAGGCAGAATTCTATGGGAACTGAAACTTGAACCGGGCTAATGAGATCTTAGAAAGCTTTTACTATAATGATGCTCAACCCTGACATCGTTTTGGGGCTTTTAAAAAATAAAATGCAGGGTCTGGAGAGTTAGAACAGCAGGTAAGTTGTTCGGCTTGCCTTGTATGCAGACAACCTGACTGACTTCCCTAGTTCAATCCTCCACACCCCATATGGTCCTCCAGCCCCACCAGAGATGATTGCTGAGCACCCCTGGGTGTGGCCCCAAAACAAAAGGATGCTGAGTGCTACCTCAAATTTATTACCTCAGAATTTTGGGATAGTGGGTTTTGAATCTGTACACCACACAATGTGTCCTCTGCTTTCTGCTCTGTTCTGCAGTTCCTCTTGCGTTGTCTTTCCAGAAATCTTTTAACATAAAAAAAGTCTCTTCCCTCATCCTTCAATAGTCACTTACTTGCTCCCCCTATGCTAGGCACAATTCCTTACGTTGGAGACACCAGAGGTTAAGTATAGATGAGAATCGAGGTCTTCAGACACTTCACCTTGCGCTCACTCATTTTCTTCCTTTCCTCCACCCAACCCCACAAGTTGCTAATTGAAACTTCCTTGCTCTGTGGTTCGAGCTCGTTGAATTATTACAGGGAAGTACCCCGTCAGCTGAGACCTTAAGGAAGTTCAATGAAAATTCTTCAATGAAAAAGATCTGTTCTTGAGTGGATGCCTCGCCCACGTGGGAGGAGGCTTGAGTGCTTCGGCGCTCGCCTCACACAGGTGAGGGCAATCCCCGCCCCCTCCTCGCTCTAAGCCTTCCTAATGGACCGAACCGCTTTCCTTCTCCCACGTAACGGGGATGGCGAGGGGATCCGCCTCCCCTGTGGGGCGGGGCCGGCGGACTGGGCGTGAGTTGATTGGTTGGGAGGCGGGGCCTCCGCGGTGGGCGCTCGTCCAGGCGCTCGCAGGGATCCCGGTGGAGTGACGGGAGAGTCCTCTCAGCTCCTGCCTCCCAGCGATGGCGCCGCGGTGCCGCGCCCAGTCCCTTGCCCGCTGCTGGCCAGTCCTCCAGACTCTGCGGGGCTCTCGCTGAGACCCTGAGACCAGCGGAGCGGGTCCGAGGGAGCGGCCGGACGCTCGTCTGCCTGCGCCGGGGGACCATGAGGAGCGGCCAGCGCGGCGGGGCTGACCGCGGGAGCCGCCGCGGCACCTGCTGAGGAGGAAAGAGGGAGCGGCCGGGGCGCGGCGGCGGCGGCGGCGGCGGCTCGGCCATGTCGCTGCTCTGCGTGCGCGGTGAGTGGAAGCGCGCGGGGTGAGCGGGCGGGAGCGGGCTCGGGGAGGGAGGGCGCCCCACTCGCCTCCAGGGGACGTCGAAACACCACCTTCTCCCCCAAACTTCCCTTTCGAGCCGGGCCTCTGGGGGGACAATTCTGTGAACTCGGTCGCGAGCGTTTGAAGAGAGTTCTTTTTTTGGGGAGGGGGTGGGTTTCCTCTCCCTTCGGTGGAGGGACGGTCACCTCTCGATTCCCGCAGCCAGGGGACAGTGTGACAGGGCTGGCGGACCCACGACCGATGCCTGCCCGGGGCGTGGGGGGGGGCGTGGGGCGGGGAGCGGGCGAAGCGGGGAGGCCGGCGCGCCCCACGAGCGCGAGGGGGGCGGATGGGCTGGGAGTCAGCGGATAGTCGGTGTCCGGCGATAGTGGGCAGCTTCCCGTTGCCCTTTCCTTCCTTCTCCCGCCCCGCGAAGCTACGCTTTAGCCCTTAGCAGCAGCCGGTCCTCCCCCACCCCACCCCACTCCCCCCTCCCCGCTTTTTAATCCTCTTTGAACGCGCAGTGGAACAATGGTTACATCCTAGTAAGGGATTTCTTGACTTGCGCCCCGCTATTGCTTGTCGGTCCTCTCCCCGGTCCTTCCCTGTGAACTAGGCTAAGGTGATACTCCTGTGTTGGAAAGGTGTGTTAGCAGCTTTCCTGACTTTCCATGAATGCTCAAGGGGCCGGGAGAGATAGTATAGCGCCTAAGACTCTTGCCTTGCGCGCAGCAACCTGGGCTTAGTTAGATCCCTGATCCCCCTTCCCCCCATATGGTCCCCGGAGCCCCATCAGGAGTGACCCGTGAGCCCCACTGGGAGTAGTCCAAATACAAAACATAGAACCCCCAAACCAAACAAAAACAAAACAAAAAAGAGTTATTGTGTTTAGATTTTTTTTTCTTTTTCAGTCCCCACGAGCACCTTTATTGATGTATTTCTTTTTCCCACGCAGGACACTTGACTCTTGAGGAAGTTAGTTTAGGTGAGAGCTGTGGGGTTTAAGAGGAGGCAAGCAGCATGGATTGAGTACCACGAGGGAGGATATTGTTTCTAAGTGCTTTTTGTATTCCCGGTGGTGACATAGTAGATGCCCATTCCCACTGGGTGACACAGTAGATGCCCAGGGCTAATTTTGAATGAATGAAAGGACTGTAATTTTAGAGATTATCTGAGAAGGAAAAAAAAAGGCAGGGTTTGAAATATCCATTAAATTTGATCTTGAGAAACTCATGAAATTCAAGTTACCAACTCTGTTGAGCAAAGCAGGATAAAATGATTTGATTGTGAGCAACGAAAAGAATTTATTCAGAAGAATATTTTTATTCTGGTGTGTTTTACTGGATAGATAGAGTTCAAGTTTTCTTTGGCTCTGGGAATGACAAGCGCTTTAAAAAACTCTGTCTCTCTTTTTGGGTCACACCCGGCGATGCACAGGGGTTACTCTTGGCTTTGCACTCAGGAATTACCTCTGGTGGTGCTCAGGGGACCATATTGGATGCTGGGAAACGAACCTGCATGCAAAGCAAACATGCCCTACCCACCATGCTATCACTTTGGCCCCCAAATCTCTCTCTCTTATCTAAAGTGTTTTCCCCAACTTCTGGCAAACTGAAATATTTTGCTCAGTTCTCTCCCACTGTTTTGTTAAATCTGCACTAACCCCAAGTGGATTTACCTATTTCTGGGGATTATTAGAGAATTTTTCTTCTGTCATGCTTGATCTTTCATTAATGAGAATTTTGTTTTGATTTTAGTAAGATATTTTATCTCAACAGCTGGGAATCTATTTATTTCAGATTTCCACTGTCAAGTAGCAGGATTTGGGAGCAGTTGGGTTTGGTAATGTCTGTTGGAATTTAAATCTCTACTGCCACACCATTTTACAGAGCTGGCTCTTATGAATGAGTCTTTAGGTAGTGACACTCTTAAATTAGAAACTCTTATTTGACAGAAAATAAATAAATTCATAGAAGGAGCTACAGTTTTATTCATTTGTCCTAATACTAAGGAATTCTCATTATCTAGAAACTATTTAGCTAAACTTTCCCCCCTTTTAATGTTATATTAATTAAATTTCTCTTCTTTTGAGTCTGGGGAATTGGAGAAGAGCAGGTGATTATCTTTTGAGTGGTGCTTTTGGAGATTATTAATTTCTGTACAAGTTTCCGTATATACTTTGTTCATTGATTTGCTCGAGCGGGTCCAGTAACATCTCCATTTTTGAGACTTGTTGTTACTGTGTTTGGCATATTGAATATGTCACAGGTAGCTTGCTAGGCTTTGCCGGGTGGGGAAGATACTTTCGGTAGATTGCTGGGCTCTCAGAGAGGGGCAGAGGAATCAAACCCGGCTTGGCCGGGCTGGCTGTGTGCAAGGCACACACTACCGCTGTGCTATCGCTCCAGCCCTTATATACTTAAAAAAGTATTAATCTTGATTTATTAATATGCATCTCTTTTTTTAATGTAAGAATACTGCTTTTTATTCAGCCATTGATTATGCTGATTGAATTGGGCATGAACTCCACATTACTTTTTTTTAATTAAAATTTTTTTAATTGATGAGACTGGAGTGATAGCACAGCGGGTAGGGTGTTTGCCTTGCACGTGGCCAACCTGGGTTCGATTCCCAGCATCCCATATGGTCCCCTGAGCACCACCAGGAGTAATACCTGAGTGCATGAAGCAGGAATAACCTCTGTGCGTCGCCGGGTGTGACCCAAAAAGCAAAAAAAATTTTTTTAAATTGAATATCATGAGAGAGACCATTACAAAATTATTCATAATTGCGTTTCAGTCATACAGTGATCCATCACCCATCCCTCCACCACTGTACATTTTCCACCACCAACGTCCACTGTTTCCCTACCACCATCCCCCACCTCCCCATTCCCAGCCTCCCTCTATGGGAGGCACTTTACTTCTCTCTTTCTTCTTTTTTGTGCATTATGGTTTGTAATACAGGTGCCAAGAGGTTATGGTGTTTGTTCAGGGCATTCAGTATTTTTGTCGGTATTTTTATCGGGACAGTAAGATTGGAGAAGCTTTTCAATTGGGTGGGCGCTTTGGAGTGTGGATGTGACTGCTGAGGCTTCTGGGAGTACAGGGAGGTGGGGAAGGTAGCCCATCCTGACCCCCAGAAAGCCTGGAGATTTTAGTCACAAAACCCACATCTATTAATTTTATAAAAGTATCCTAGGAAAATTTAGAGAAATGAATCAAAATCTTTCTAAAATGAAACATCAAAATCTAAATCAAAATCTAAATCAAAATCTTTCTAAGTAGAAGTAATAATAATCCTTTTATTATATTTTGGCAGTTAGGAATGTATAGAAATGGATTAGAATCTTTTCAAAATGACATTCTTTACATTATATTGACAGAAATGTTATTCATATTTTGAAAGAAGTCTGTGTAGTGATACTGTATAGCAACTCAATTTCAATTACTCTTGGAGCAGAATCTTCCTCATCTAGTCAAATTTCAAACAGTGGTTAAAGAAGTAATTGACTTAATTACCAACAATCTCATTGAAGAGGTTTCTTTCCTTTTTTTTCTTTTCCCCCCTCACTCCTTCCTTCCCTTCCTTCTTTCCTTCCTTCTTCTTTCCTCAGTGATGCTCAGGGACTACTCCCACCTTTGTACTTGCACAGGGGTTACCTGCAGACATTTTTATTGAGGTACCAGGATTTACAATGCTGTTAATTATATTTTAAAGCATACATTATTCCTACACCACACCCATCAACAGAATGCCTATTTCCTTTCACCAGTGTCTCAAGGGTCCCCTCCATTTAAGCTCAGTTCTATGGACAAAATCTCCAATTCTGAAGACTTTGATCATTTGTTTTTTTCTTACTATGTTTATTTATATCCTACATATGAGAGATGCCTTTTTTTGTTTGTTTTGGGGCTACATCCAGCAGTGCTCAGGGCTGCACCTGGGAATTACTCCTGGTGGAAAATATGGGGTGCTTGGGATTATCCCAGGTCTACTATGTGCAAGACAAGCACTCTACCCACTATAGTATCTCCTTTTTTTTTTTTTGTTACCGGCCCATTTTAAATTTTTATTTATTTATTTATTTTTGGGACCATACCCAGCTGTGCTCAGGGCTTACTCCTGGCTCTGTGCTCAAGTATAAAACTGGGTTGGCTTCATGTGTGGCTCTTGTACTATCTCTCTGGCCTTAAATCATTATTTACTGTTTTCTAGGCCACACCCAATGGAGTATTGGCTTTATTCCTGTCTCTGTGCTTAGGGATCACTTGTGGCAGGACTTGGGGAACATGATGGCATGCTAATGATCAAACCTGTATTGGATGTAGGCAAGGCAAACACCTTATCTATTGTACCATCTGTCCAACTGCTAAGATATTTTTATTATTTGATTTTTGGGTCATACCCAGTGATGCTTAGAACTTCCTTCTGGTTCTGTGTTCAGGAATCACTCCTGGTGGGGCTCAGGGGGACCATATGAGATGCTAGTGATCAAACCTGGTTTGGCCATGTGCAAGGCAAGTGTCTTTGGCCCACCAAAATAATTTTTTAAAATGACTGCAGTGAACTCATTATGAGAGTGTATAGTCTGATCAACCTCATGTTTTTGGACATTTATGATTTTTATTTTTGCTCTTATAAAGTCTACAATAAGCATGTTTACAGATGGTTTTCCTTATGTATTTGAAGATTTCCAGTCAGTCTGAGATTTGAACTGTGTGGTTACTGATCACTATTTTTTCTTTCCTTTCTTTTTTTTTTTTCAAGTAAAAACAGGTTTTATACTGGCTTCTCTAGAATGAAGAGGGAGCCTCCATACATATCCCAGTATTAAAATACGAAAGCACAGGGGCGTTTGCCTTGCACGCAACCAACATGGCCAACACAGGTTAGATTCCCAGCATCCCATATGGTCCCCCGAGCACAGCCAGGAGTAACCCCTGGGCATCGCCGGGTGTAACTCAAAAAGAAAAAAAAAA